TGCTGTCTGCAGTTAAAACGGAGCACTCGGGTACTAGAACTGGTGTAGGCATGAATTCTTTTGAAGCCTCTGGTTAAATATTTTATTTATGTTATATTTAGCTTTGGTTTTTTTTTTCCTTTGGTGAGGAGAATCTGGTATCCATAATGGTATCCGTATAAAGATGCACTTGCTTGAGACTGTGTGGGTGGAGAAGGATTTGTTTAAGAAAATCATGAGCTGACTCCTAAAAATATTTTGGAAATGAACTGCAAGGGAGAGAAGATAAGATAAATATTTTATAAACATGTGCAGATGAATTTATAGTTTGGCTTGTCACAGATCAGTATTGTTCCCAGTTCTGTCCGTGTCTCTCTCCTGCCCATTGAAAAGCAAGTGTTCTCATCTTTTGATTGCATAAAGCCTCGAATATTGTGGCTTCGCTCCTTCCCAGATGGAAACAGATGTACTAAAAAATCCTCGTGTGCGAATTGTTCTGTTAGCTTAAAACCAGAAAAAAATCAAAATAGTTTATCAGCGCTACAAGATCTTGTAGATGGTGATTAGAAAAGTGGGGAGTATTTTTCTTATACACCCAGAACCAACATTTCGAGCAGTGGAGACTGTGGAACCCTGGAAGCAGCTTTGTGTCACCTCCGTGGTGGTGTCCCCCCCCGGAAAGGTGAGAGCCGGAGGAGTGCTGGGAGGGGAGAGGCCGTCGGGGTCCTCCCTGGACTGGCTCCTGTCACTTGTCTTTCCTTTTCCCATCAAGAAGAGGATATGGATCAGAGTAGGAACAGACAGAGATGTTACAATTCCATTTTTACTCTTCACGAAATACATCGTTTGGTCACTTAGCTCTGCTTCCTATTTCTGAGAGCAGCCCGGAGGAGGGTGACCCGGTGGTGGTTAACGCCGCGCTTTGCCCAGCTTTCTTCCTTTTTTGGTACTATTCGGTTGCTGGGAGCATTCCAGTGGTATATAAAAAGACACTTTGTTGTGTCTATTTCTTCTCGTTCACAAAAGACATTTTTATATTAAAAGCAGGAGGTTTTCTTTCGTGTGTTGTTTTTTTTTCTTTTTCTTGTACATGACCAAAAAATAAGGTCAGCTCGCAGCCCCGACCACGGCGGTGGCGTTAATAGCGTTTCATAACCCAGCCCGCAAAGCAGAGCGGGCTTAGAAGCTTCTCTTTCCTCCCAGATGAAGGGCTTTTTAGAGCAAAACCCAAAGTACTATTACTAATTCTAGCCTGACACGTTACGGATTACCGAGATGGGAGAAGTCTGAGCTCCGATGGTAAATAACAAGTGGTTGAGTCACATGGTGCCGGTGGCTCAGCTCCTGCTTCGAAGCGGCCGCAGCATCTGTTAAAGGCGCCGGGCTCGGCGTGGTGACGTGGGGCCGGATAAGCAGACACCGTGCATTATTCATGCTGCTTTTAATTGCTCCGGTCTGCTCCTTACTTCTGGAGGCGGGGAGAGCGGGGAGGCTGACTC